GCGGTTGAAGCTCTTGAAGTTCTCCCATGCTGCCTTACACCTCTGGATGATGGTGTCCGAACGTTGTGGCCTGCCGTTGGGCTGAGGAGCCGCCTCTAGGTCAACGCAGTCGAGCACCGGTTTAACTCTGGCGACTACGGCGTCGAACTTGTCCCTTTGGGTCCTGGCCTCCCGCACCAGCACATCAAATTGTGCCTTGACTTTATGACGGTAGCCTGCAAGTATTACAAGGTTCCATCAAACAAGGAAACTACTTCAACAGTAACTCCAACCAGGAAGTATTCACCTTTCAGTTACTCGACTAGTTTGTCTGCTCGTTCTAACTCCTTCACCTTCTCCTCTTGGAGTTGCTCGACAGCTTGGCGTAGCTGGCCGAGCTCCACATCTTGCTCTACAAGCACAGCGGTTGTCAGCAACAATGATACTTTAGCAACGCCAAGCAATTTCGCCGATCAGACATACCTTTCTTCTACTCGGAGACTTTCCACAGCTGCTCCAACTGCTCGGAAGCACCCCTCAATTGCTCGGAGACAGTGGTTAGCCGCTCGGACTTGCTCCGCAGCTGCTCGGACGCGGTCGCCAGCTGCTCGGATAGGATGCCCCTCTGGTATTCTAGGTCCCGCGCATTGGACTCTGCAAGGTCTCGCTCACGCTGGGCCCTCTGGATGTTTCTCTCCGAGAGGTTCACCACCTCCCTGAGTTTTTTGTTCTCCTCAGCGAGGGGCTCCATCCTCTTTATCAGCTGGTGCCGCTGCTCGGCAGTTCAAGTTATCCCCTACAAATGCACAATGACAATGACGGAATTCGATCTCCAATGTCAAAGATGAGTACTCTGGATGCAGTACTAACCTCGATTTGTTTCATCACTCCGGTGAGGGCGGATTTCAGTCTCCTCATCTCCTTGGTGATGTCCTCCTCCTCGATAACTACCACTTCGTCGCCACGCTTGTGGAGGATTCGGATAGACTAGGGTCGAGATTCAGCATGAACGATCTCTTCCACCTCGTCCTCCTCTGTCGCAGCTGGAGGCACCACCTGGGGGCTCGGTGGCCGGATAGCGTGTCCGACCATGCCCTCCGACGGCTCAGGCAGCGCCGCTTGCTCCTCTAGCACCGCAGGACGCCGACAGCTCCAACCTCTACTCCTGAGGACTCGGTGATTCCCACCGTTTCCCCAGGCATCATCGCCAACCCATCCACTGTTGGCGCCAATTGTTCGCCGCCGCCAAGTCCACCAACAGCGGCGGTCGACTCCTCCATAGGCTGTCGAGCACCCTGGGACTCCGACATGGGGTCTACCAGCACCTCCTCTGCTTCGGGACCTGTCTTCGGTTGCTCAACAGTCTAGACGGGCGGGGTCGAATCCTCTGTACGCCTTGCACTGCATCAGATAATCTTGTCAGTCGCCAAAAACTAAAAAAAAGGAAGCTAAGAAATGACGGCAAAGTAACTCCAAGACAAGGATACTTACGGTTTGGTCTGCCGGTATAGTTTTTTGAACCAGCGGTGCCTGCCCGAGCCCCCAGGCGCAGCCGTGGGGTCAACTCCCATGCTCTGGGGTGGAGGTCCCACCTCCTCCACAGTCGGCCTCTGCTCCACCTGCCGCTCTAGGACTTCCTCCGCCCGCCGCTCTGGGACTCTCTTCGCCTGCTGCTCCGGGTTTACCTTAGCCTCCTGCTCCGGGACTCCCCTCGCTTGTTGCTCGGTTTCCCCTTGAACTCGAAGGCTAGGTGCTCCCTCTCCTTACAGGGCTGAACGCGGCGCACTATAAAACTCGCTATCACCAATCCACCATTGGTCTTCATGCCTTTTATTAAGCCAAGGAGCTCCTTCACTTGCTCCATGTCAGTGCTGCTTGGCATCTCCGACCAGCTCTTCTGGCTCTCCGGGATGTGGTCGGCGTCGTATTGGACGGCTAGATGGCTCTGCTTCATGTAGAACCACCTGGCATTCCACCCTTTCAGTGACGTGTTAAGCGTCACAGTAAGGTACTCGCCCGCCATTCCATCGCGCAGCTGAGGGTACACTCCGCCGACCACCTTGGAACCACCGCCGCCTCTCTTCTTCAGCCAGAACAGGTGACGGAAGAGGTTGAAGTGGGGAAGGATTTTGAGATATGCCTCACAGAAATGGATGAAGATCGAGATGTGCAAAATGGTATTGGGGTGGAGATTGCACAGACTAACCACCCAGAGCTCCAACAGATCCCTCAGGAATCGATGAATAGGAAATCCCAACCCGCGCCTGAAATAATCCTCAAATACAACCACTTCATCGGTATGGGGCATGGGGAATGGCTCACCGAGGGCGAGCCGCCATCCGGCGGTGACGTGGTCAGACAGAACGCCCGCTTCCACCAATCTGTTGAGCTCCGCCTCCCCTGTTCGCGACGCCACCCACTCTTTGTCATGCCGGACTCCGGCGCTCGCCTTCTTGGGGCTCATTTTCTTCGGTTTCGCAGCTCCCTTCTTCGGCGCCATCTCCCAGATCTGATTAGGGTTGGGCGGCGGCAGCAAGTGTGGATGCGAATCTAGAACTGCGAGGACTGAGGAGGAAGACGAAATGGCAAAGTGGCAAATGTGGGAACGCGGGATGCGGCGGCGCAGTTATAAAGCACTTTCCCCACCCTTTCGCATTCGAGGGTTTTTGGGAAACCGTTCCCACGATTTACGCCTTTCCGAATTCTCCGCGATAGCAAGGTGGTCCGTTACCTGGGCTTTCGCGTAACTGCGGCCCGTACCGCCGATTTATCTCCGCAATTTGTTACGGCCCACCGAATTTTCGCCGACTTCTCCGCTAATCGTTATGGCTCAGTAATTACTACTGTACAGTCATTTCTCCGGTATTTTCTCCATGGTTAGTTTTCTCCAAGATTTCCTAAAGTGGCTCGGGGACTGCGTCAATATTACGTCTCAGTTCCTCACCGCATTGAGGATTTTTCTTCAATTGACTACTGTTTCTAACCCTGGCACCACGTGACTACGTCACCTACTGTCAAGCTCGGGGACTAAGTGGGCACACTTCACCTTGCGGTGAATGTGCCTTTTCTCACTTCGGGGCTACGCCCGAGGACTGGTTGCCTGCTTGGCTGGTCTTTTACTATTCTTCTACTTTGGACCCTGGCACCACTTGACTACGTCATCTACTGTCAGGCTCGGGAACTAAGTGGGCACACTTCACCTTGCGGTGAGCGTGTTTTCTTAAATCTGAAAGACTCCACGCCTCTTGAAGCTGAAAAGACTACCTCCTTTTCTCTTGGTCGGACTCTAAGTGGGTACACTTGGTCCACTGCGAAGAAATTTTCGATTCTGAACTTGAGCTCCTTACACCCTTATGGCAAGCCGTACTTGGGTTATACTGCTCGGCGACGGTTTACGCTACTCGGCGACTACTCACAACTGCTCGATAACTCATCACGGTGGTCGGACCATGAGTTTGACTGCTCGGCTTTGTACGCACCCGCTCGGACAAGCTCAAGACGGCGTTGCACAACGGGTACAAGGTGCTCGGGGACTAGCTGTGGGGGGTACGACCCCAGATACCCATGGCAGACCACATGGGTTACGCCCCTAGGGGCGGCCCAGCCCATAAGACGAAGGCTTGCGGGACACGATTCTGCTCGGCGCCTCCCGCAAGACACCGGGAAGATATCCTGAAGATACTGCGAGATCTGATAGGATATGTATGATCCCAAGATTCCTGTAATCTATTATTACTTTCTAGTTATCTCTCAGATCTAACCGACTTGTAACCCTGTCCCCGGACTATATAAGGCGGGCAGGGACCCCTCTAAACTCACGCAATATCATACGATAGCCAATACAATCCAACAGAACACAGGAGTAGGGTATTACGTCATACTGACGGCGTGAACCTATCTAGCTGGTGTGTCTCCATTGCCTTCTTGTTCTTGATCACGCGTTTCTCTGCCGATCAATCTACCTTCGTGGGATACCCCTCGGAGGACTGTCGACGATATTCTGTCGACAGCAAGAGATGCTCCTCCTCTTGTGCAAGCAAGAATATTGCATTTCCAATGTGGCCAAGTACCACCGCATGAAATAAAATAAACTAAACAAATTGAAGGCCAATAGGTTCCAACAAGCTAATAAGCCAGTAGGAGCTATATATACCAATTTCCTCTCATGTTTATATATTACCTCTTTCTTCAGCTCCTGGCATGGTTCACAAGGTGGGCAAATTGTTTGTTATATGATGTGCATAGTTCTGAAAATAGATCACCAACAAATAGATAACATTTTTTCTGAAAAAGTGTACTTGTTTCTTGATTATCTGATTTGAAATAATTTAGTTATGATTTTGGATACTAAACCACCTATGAAAACAGCTAGAGTCCCAAATTTGTCAATTTTAACAGTTGGAGGGAGTCCAACATCCAATTTCGTAATTTAGTACTTTATACCTATTTTAACACTTGAAGGACGGCGTCCATCCGTTTGCTTCACATTTGTCACGTGAATTAGCCACAATCTGTGAAGTGAGTGCACCAAATTCTCTTTGGGTTTCAGGACTTCTTACGGACTCTTGTGAACAAGAAGAAAAGATGTTCAAGAAGAACCCAACTACGTACGCACGTGAAAATGCATTATATTGGTGCTGGCCATGGTGATCAGAGCTGAAGGTGTTTCTAGCAGCACGCGTACGAATTACCTGAACAGTCGCAAAATTCTCTCGGGGTCACAGGAACAGCAGCAAACACCAAATCAAAAAAAGCTTTGCATCACTCCAGCACGCGGCAGCCGGGAAAGGACACAGCCAAAGATACCGACCGACTGATGTGGAGTGCAGGAGAACGTTTGGTCATGCAAGCAAGAACGCGGCTGAAACCGCCTAATCCTGAGGCTATGCTGCTTGCATATATAAGGCCTGGAGCCCTCCATTCTAAGCCAAGCAAAGCAGCAGGAGATACTCCAGTACAGCTCTGCACTACTACTTGCTCCCTGAAGAACCAAGATTATCTCCATCCAAAGATAGATACATATGGCGGCTGTGCGCGCTCAGAAGGCCCAGGACATTGAAGAGGAATGCAACAGCACACTGCGCTCACAATCCAAGGAGATGGAAGCTCTTCTTGAGACTCAGGAGATCATCATCTCTCCAGTGCTTCATAACATGATGGTGCACCGAAGAACATCTTCAGAGATTGAGCTCGCAATGGCGAATTACTTCGACGCTACCACGGAGGCCCTAGAGATGTGCAGGCAGCTCCTCCAGAATATCAAAGACGCCCAAAGCAACTACCAATCCATGGACAGCTTCCTCGCTATCATCTCAGCTTCCCATGCACTTGACTTCCCTTTCACAAGCAACAACCCTTTCTGCACCACAACACGAAGCAACTTGAGGCCGATCCACGACAAGTACTCCTGCATACTTCAGAGCTTCAGATCGAGCCACAGGAGAGTAGGGAGGAAGCTCAAGATGGTGAAGGCCGTCAAGAAGCTCTCGCGTGCCTTGGTCGTCATGGCGGGCGGAGCGGCTGCTGTGGCTGCCTTCGGCACTGGGGCGCACCTGCTGTTCTTCGGTCTCCTCCTCATCGGGACGGCGACCACGGGGGCGCTCAAGACGTGGCTCGCGGCGAGGGCTAGTACAAAGAAGCCGTCCAGCAAGACCACGTCGTCATTGCTTCAGCTGCAGGAGCAGCTCGACACAGCGGCGAAGGGCACCTACGTCGTTGGCCAGGACCTCGACACTGTCAGCAACCTCGTGGCGCGGCTCTCCGATGCCATCGAGCGGGAGAACGCCATGGCGAGGTGGTGCGCGGAGAGAGCGGACGAGAGGAGCTCGGTGCTAGAGATGGCGAACGAGCTCAGTCGTAGCTGCTCGAGCTCCAAGAGACTCACCAATGAGCTGGAGGAGAACGTGTGCCTGTTCCTTGCCACCATACATAGGGCTAGAAATTTGGTCATCCAAGAGATCTCCAAGAAAGCTTGATATGAAAATAAAAAATTATAAACTTTGACCATCAGATAGTCAAAATATTGTAAACCATGTTGTTTTGGCAATTGGAATCACCGTGTTAATTCTTATCCAGACAACAATTTTAGTTCATCTTTTAAGTCTTTCTCTCGTATATTCATTTGGAAGTTAAATTTTTTTCTAAAAATCAAGATTGTCCTTTGTGGTATCTCTAGCAAGGGATAATTTTAACAAAGGGCAATCTAACTGAGAAGAATTGGAAAGGCAATCAAAAGTGTTATTTCTCTAACAGTTACAAAACCATTAAACATCTTTTCTTTGATTGTCATCATGCCAAGATAATCTAGAGATCTGTCTATATAGATACTGGGTTAACCCCTCTCAGCTCTGTATCCCACATGTTATGGAGTTGGTTATCAAATTTTGTTTTAAAAGAGAAGAAATATAATATAGGGTAGCCGCATAATGTTGACAAATTTGGAAATGTCGCAATGATCTAATCTTTGAAAATTGTAAATATACATCTGTTATGCAGGCTATTTTTAGGATAATATGCAATGGATGTGGTTTTGGGCACCACTGTAGCTTGATGATGATACAAAGGAGTCTTTCCAATTAGCGAGCAGGAAATTCGAGACCACTAGTTGGAGCTATTCGCCTCTCACGGATGGAAATTTAATAATAGACCCTATCATGCGTAATTTTGTCATTTTATGTTCCCTTTATTTATCAGCAATATCATTGAAACTATGTAATATCAAAAACATTATGTGCGGAATTTCACAAGAATCATACATAAATTTCATAGAAATCAGTTTAATTTCACAGAAAAATACATGATCCAAAAAAATCTGGCAACAATGCAAAAGGGGCCTTAACCTGAGATCTCGAGAGATGCCACCTAGCATGAGCACCTTCCCCAATGCAAGTCCCTTCTCCCATGGTGCGAGCACCATCCTGGCGTGGCTCCCTTTTTCCTTGCGTCCCTTCTTCCAATGTTTCTACCTCCACCTCGGCTCCTATCCTATCTTGGCGTGTGGCTTGTCCCCACCCACCCACCCACACACACACATATTTCTCCACCATCGGCTCCCTCCACCACAGGCCTACTTCCCCATCCTAGCATGGCTTCCCACGCCAGTGGTGGCGCCGCACACCACTATGTGCCCGCCTCTCGTAGTCACCTCCATTGGTACCCCAAGCTCCAACGTAAAGTATAGATTTTAGTTTTTAAAATTATTATCAATGTATTTACCAATATACATGTGGTTTTTGAGTGGATTTGTTTTATTCAATTGATAGTAAATTGGTATTTAGGATTCATTTGATTTCAACTAATAGTCAATTTGTATATAGGATTTGTTTGATCCTTTTGATTGCCAATTTGTATGCAATGGGTGGAGGTAGCAAGGCTAGTGGTGGTGATGGCAACAGAGGAGAGAATTGATCCTTTCCTATGTTTCATGTTCATATATGAACTTAATGTTGTGGCGAACTATGTGATGTGATGAACGATGTCATTTAAACTTAAACTAATGTGTTTCAATTTGTGGATTTCAGTATTACTCCCTCTATTCCAAATTGTAAGTTATACTGGCTTTTCTATGCACATAACTTTTACTATGTATCTAGGCACAATGTATATCTAGATATGTAGCAAAAGTTATATATATAGAAAAGCCAGAACTTACAATTTGGAATAAAGGCCAGGAGTAGTTATTTGTATAAAGTAGTAACATTATTTGTATAAACAGAGATGATGAGAAAATAAAGAAAATGGAGAATATATATGGGCCCAGATTTGAACACTATTATTGGTGGAGTTCGCGGTCCAGAAAACGGGGCCTTAAAAGTAGAGGAAACCTTGAAAATCAACTTGTAAATCCTTGTACGTAATAAGGGCATTGAAATGGCAGACATTCATGGTGGGAATATTGTGTTACATTGAAATAACCTATGAATGGTCATCAAGCTAAGTATGTAAAAGAGCAACTTCAACCAAGCTCTTCCCCCCACCCCCAAATTCCCTCAAATGGCCAGCCCTTACTACTTAGCGCACTCCAACCGATCTCCTAAATCTTTCTTACTTTACTGTATATTATCATGGACCTTGCTCATAGACCCCATTTGTCAACTTTGTGGGAAGAGAGAAAGGAGTTGTAGGGACAGGATGAGGGGTTCCTACATTTGGGGCTAAGGAGAGAGGAACGAGAGTCTCTCATCCATCGGGGGCTGAATAGGAGCTCGGTTGGTGAGCTTTTTCATGTGTTTGAACTCTCAAAATAGGATGAGGGCTCAAATAAGGTCTTGGTTGGAGTTGCTCTAAACAGAATGCAGAAAAACTCCACGATTTTTCCACTTAAACTGTCCAACCCAAGTAACACCATGATGTTGTCCTTGGTATTTTCAAGATGGGCATAAAGCTAATCTTAGTGGGAAGTTTGATGACACAGTTACCAAGAATGCCAAGTCAACTTTTGTGTCAGTAACTGTGACAGCGGATTTCATACAGATGAAACTCTCTCTGTCTCTTTCTTCACAATTAACCTGCCAAGTCTAAGGCTGGGAATGGGCCTTCTAAATCCAAGGGCCGAATGGAGCCCCAATGCACAGCCTGTTTTTAAGGATTGTCTATGGGCTATGTATTGAAAAGAGCTGATTCGGATTGGATTCTATAACAAAAGGGTTGAACATTAGACTTGGTCCAAGACATCAAATTTGCTGATGTGTCATAATATTAATGGAAATGCTCTAACCCGAGCATCTGAAGCTCTTGAAAATATCGGACGGACTCTAGGCTCATGTGGCCCACGGACAACCACTCGTTCCCTAATTAATTTTTATCCACTTATTTTCCAGCCTCCACCGACACCGCCTCCTGCTCTGCCTCTTCTTCAAACCCCTCTCATCCTCACCAGGCGAACAGCATAACGAGCTCAGCCATCCCCATCCTCCTCTCACATTCACCGGGCACAAATCGCTGTTACGTTGTTTCTGTCGCCTGATGGGATTGCTTCGGCTACGGGCGATGGCGGCGGTAGCTATCTGAATGTCACGCCTACTACTGTGGTTCTGCCCGCCCGCACTAACCACGCGTCGCCGCCACATGATGCGTTCGCCGCGCCGCCCTCGATGGGGCAGCCAGACCGCCCGGATGATTCAGAGGCGTTCTCGGACATCGTGATGGGCTACATCAACCGCATCCTCATGGTCGAGGACATCGACGATAGGTCCGAGCACTACCTGGAGCACCCCGCGCTGCTGACGACCTCCTCTCTCTCTCTCTCTCTCTCATCTGGACGGACTACACCCGAGCGTTGCTTCCTGGCTACTGCAGTTCCCCATCAGATATGCCATGGCCACCGGTGATGTCGTGTTTCAAGTGTTTTAGATGTATGTTTCAAGTGTTTCATCGGGATGTTGCATGTGTTGTAATGGCTATAAATGCATGTTGCAAGCGTATGTTTCATGTTGCAAGCATATATTTCAAGTGTTGTTTTAAGTGTTTCATCTGGATGTTGCAGAAGTATATCTGGATGTTGCATAACATGCATGTTGCAATTAAGCGTATGTTTCAAGTGTTTCAGGTGTTTTATACGTATGTTACAAGTGTTTCATCTGGATATTACAAAAATAGATTTAGATGTTGTATATGTTTACAATGGCTTCCAAGTGTTTTTAGGTGTTTTTACAAGTGGTTTAGACGTATGTTGCAAGTGTTTCAGCTATTTCGGACGTATGTTGCAAGTGTTTCAGCTGTTTCGGACGTAGATATTTCAAAAGTAGATCTGGTGTTATACATGTTGCAATGGGACCCACCTGCCGTAGCCGCCTGCTGTAGCTCCTAGGGCGGTCGGGCGGTGCAGGCCCTGCGTGGGCGCGAGAAATGGGGTGTAGGCGCAGGCATCCTTCCAGACGTTCAGACGCTAGCAATCCCCTAGTATTAGATGCAAATGAAACTCAAATAAAACCACTAATTTGTCCTAAAAGTCCCATATGAAAAGTGAACGGAGTTACTATGATCAGTGCGTGGTTTAGTTAAAGACAAATCAAATCAGGGCGGAATTCTTAAATCTGTTTATAAACACACGTAAATTCACATTATTCGAGTATAGATCAGAACATCTCTCGATACAAAAATGATAATAATAAAGGATATATGCACACACACCAAGGCTTGATTTGTACTTGATACAAGAACACCGAAGATCAAGAGTTCCTACGTGCAAATATCGGTAGCCCAAATCAAGACCTGGCACACACACGAGTTGAAAGAGAACAAATCAAGCAGCAGCCGCGACGAGTTGTGGCTCAGGCAGTCGATCGATCAGTTGTGGCCGTGCTTCTTGGCGTCCTTCTTCTCGTGGTGCTCGTGGAAGGCGAACCCAGCGGAGCCCACGGTGGCGACGGCGGCCACCTCCTCCTTGATCCTGTGGCCGTGCTCGTTCTCCGGGTCCTTCTTGGCCTCGTGCTTCTCATGCTGCAGTCACATGCACAAGAACGCATCGATGCATACCAGATCAAGAGCTGAATCATATATGCATCGATCAGGCGATCTATCAAAGAAGTTGGATCTTGTTCTCACCAGAGCATATGCGCCGGCGGCAATGGCGCCGAGCTCGCCGAGCTGCTCCATGTGCTTGTGGTGCTTCTCCTTCTTCTCGTAGTCCACCTCGCCGGAGCTCTCCTCATCCTTGCGGTGGTGGAACAGGTGGTGATGGTGCTTCTCCTCGGCCATGACACGTCAAAGAAAGATCAGATGTCTCTCGGTGAACTTCTCAAGGGAGATGGAGATGACTTCTTTGGATGAAGAAACCGTGGTGCCTAATGGACAGCATTTTATAGGGGTGGAGCGGATTCTGCAATGGCACAACTGGCCCTGCCAACTGTTCATTCTTCGGCCAGTCGGAGGGCATTTTAGGTACTTGCTACTGTTCGTGTGAGTGTGAATTATTGTGTTGCAAACTTGCAACATTTGAAGGAAGACTTTAAGTTTATTAAATCAATAAATCCCCGCGCTATAATGAGCGCAACATCATCTAACCACTTTTAGGAGTCACTAGAGGCGAAAAAAAGGAGAAGGCCTCAGAGTTCAGACTTGCGTTTCCAAATTAATTTTAACTTGTACATAAAAGCATAAAAGTTTTCAGCGATATTGGTTGGAGCTTTCAGCGAATTTTAAACTAAAAAGTTTCAGGAAACCTGTGCTTGAAAGTTTTTTGATGTTATGAGGAAACTTCGTGACTTCAAGTAATTGGTTCCACGAGTTGTACTTAAGTTTTTTCTCTCATTTTTTCTAATATTTTAATTTGATTCAATTGTTGACCATATATAGTTAAATTAACCTAGCTAGCTAATTGTTGTACGAATCATTTAATATTCTTCGTTCTATGTTTAAAATTATAGTTCACTTTACCTTTGTTTTAAGTAAAAATTAAATAAATTTATAAAAAAATATCAACATATGAAATATCAAAATAGTTTGATTATGTAATTCACAAAATATGGTCTTGATAGCTAGTGGATTTATTTAAGGTTATACATATTAATATATTTTATATTAAAATTGGTCAAGATTAAGAAAGATTGAGAACAAATAAAAGTATAATCTGGAACCAATTAATAGAATAGTTTTTTTTATTTTAAAGACCAAACGAATGTAGTAGTTGCGAGAGAGAAATGCTCCTGCACTGGAAGGCGTTCGCACGTTCCCAGCTGCCGCGTCCTCCGCTATAATCCGTTGTCGGAGGCTGCCATTGGTCACTGAGATTTGGAAATCGTCCAGTAACGTGTCGGGTTGGGCCGCCATGCGACGACAAGGAAAAGTATTTCGGGCTGGCCCGCCCGTGGCCCATCGTTCGTACACCACGTTTCATTTTTTTTTCTTTTTGTAAATTATTACTTTTTTTGCAAAAAGAATCGTTCTAAAAAATTCTAGAATTATACTCCCATCGCCAATTTGATATTGCCAAGTGAACCAGCGGAATTTCTCATGCCACCTATTTGAATGTGGAATTTTCCTTTTCAAGAATTGCGGAATTTCTCCCACCTACCTGAGATTACGCCCAATTCTACGGTTAGTTATGATAGCTCCAGAGGTGACAGCTCTGTCAGGCCGTTACAATCCACCACGTTAGGATTGATGTTCGTAGAGCTTTAGGCAGCCTTCCCCCAACTACGCTTTCTCAACCCCCCTCAAGAGTTGAAAAGGTACTGTTGCTCCAAAGTGTTATTGTGTGTGATCGCTATATGTACCCATGAATTAGTTATATCCCATGGAACCAAAGTAAAAGTGAAGTACTTAGAAACCTTGAACTCACCCGTTGTCCTCTCAAATTGGCTAAACTACTCATTTATTTTATCATGGAATTCTCCTATGTGTGTGTCATTATTCATAACTCTTATCATTACCATCACTTACCCCCACTTTAGTCTAGTTGGTATACTAGTTAGTAGATACATGATGGTGAACCATAAACTTCTTTAACCATTGTTTCCCTGTGGATAAATACGAATACTCTCGGGTGAAAGCTACAGCGGTATCCGTGCGCTTGCGCATTTATCTGTGTGCATTTAAAATACCAACAATGGGCTTGTGATAAACTCATTGCTACTCAATTGCTTAAAATTGTGACTCAATAAAACCTAAATGCAGTTAAACCCGTGTCTACCTTTTGAGCCTCATGAACCCCGTGTTATTCTTGTTGAGTACGAGATGTACTTACGCTTGTTTATTTTTACTATTTAGATAAAAATCCCGGAGGGGTAACAGATGACAATGGTTTTGAGGATTTTCCTGAGGATTTTTAGACTTACGATCAACCAGTTGATCGTCCCTATGGCTGTGGTGGCTCCATGGAGTTATCTTTATTTATTTTCACTTGCTAGACTTTGATATATTTATGTAATGGATTTAATACTAGTGATTTAATAAAGCACTGTGCTTGGTATTCTCCTTTAATTTGTCTCTATATGTGTGTAATTGATTTCTGGGCACACATATAATTTATATCCAGATTTGCCTTTAAATTTGGGTATGACATTAGGCTTTTCATTTAACTTACCTAGTCGAAGTGTCTTGGGCCGTTAGGCTTGTTGACTGGCTTCGCCCTGGTGTATCTTTGGAAGGTAGAAGTTATGAGCCCTTAGGCTTTTGACTGGCTTCATGCTCGCGTATTTTCGTAGGGTCGAAGTTATGAGCTCTTAGGCTTTTTTGTCTGGCTTCGCCCTTGCGTATTTTCGGAGGGTCGAAGTTACGAGCCCTTAGGCTTTTTGACCGGCTCTCGTGTATTTTCGGAGGGTAGAAGTTACGAGCTCTTAGGCTTTTTAACTTGTAAAGTACAACTTGCAAGACCGAGGAATAGATAATTGTGTGACTTCTACAAAAAGAGCGATCTGCAAATAAAGTTATCAAATAATTAAGCAAGTTTCGTCTAATCCTTAGTAGCATAGTTTTCTTCCGGAGTTGGTCATTTTGCTAGAAATAATCACTTCTGAGAGTAATGTGTCCTGAAGATGACCGCAGCTGATGTCTTCGGGTGCAGGCTTCAAGGGGCATGCGCAGATGCGAAACACTAGAAAACTTTGCTGTAGCTTAGACGAATAAAGCTTCGCCGCTTCCGCATATTGAGCACATGAGCCCAACAATATCTAGAATGTACAAAGTTGGCATATTTCAGATGCACAAAGAATTGTAGTGGCACCAATTCCATATGATGAATGGCAATGGTAGTTTTTCAATCCATGAAAAATGTAATACTATGTTTCCAATTAAACCTTTTTTTAAGAACAAAAGCTAGATATTAATTTCTAGTCTAGTCTAGAAATATACTCAAGAATTACTGTACATAGCTCCGCCGTAATGGGCCAGGTCTTGGTAGATCTCTGCGCCGCCCTGCCGTCATGGAGCTCCGGTGAGATCCTAGCTCGCCACGGCTGCTGCTCGGTTGGATTTGCATCCAATGGACAGAAAACGGGGTGCCCAGGACCCGAGCTAGATAGTCCTGCTTTTACAAACGCGTGGCTATAATTGAGACTAGCATCTTCTTTACTATCACTAGGTTCGTGCCCGTGCGTTGCTACGGCATAGCTAAACTTTTATACTAAAAACACACGGATCGCACGATAAGATAATAATACTGTGAAATAAAATATCGACGTTAAAGTAAAATTTAATCCATAAAGCAAAGTTTATGAAATTAACACAGTCACGGAGATCGCAGCGTCGTATGCTCACAAACTCTACCGTATAGACCTTTCCACGATGCGGCTAAGATAATATTTTGTATCGGCAGGAAGAAATCTCCGATAGCCATTTTTTTCGTGCGCCAATAAATCCACGAATAAATTCCACCTCATCTCCATACGATCATGTACATAGGTTTGAGTATATATATAAATATTAGCGCTTCACATGGATAATTCTACGTATCTTAAAAAATGTCTCACATAACCTTAAAACAAAGTATGTTATACTCACCGTATAAACTTTTTTTTCAACAATTACATTGCAACTCCACTAATTACAATACAACAACACATATGACGAGAAATATACATTGTACGGCCTCTAAAATTCTTTTTGATAAAACCGACCAGAAGTTTCATGAAAGACTAAAATGACGGCGGACACCCTATGCCGTTGTAGCCCGTGCCGCGCCACCTCGCCGAGCCCCCGGTGATCTGTGGCGCCGCAACTTCCCCGCCCCTCGCCCGAACCACCTCCGACGCCGACAGCTCCAGGTGGCCACCCATGCGCCGCCCCACCCAGGCGGCGCCACGTCAACACCCACAAACAAACGCAAACCCACACCACTCATCGTGTAAGTCCACAAATCATGCTGAACAAAAATATCAATTCAACTTTGCAGTGGTTCATTTGTTACAACATCATATATGTACATGGTATATATTTGTTTAAATAAAGGTATATAGATAACACATAACGTCATATGGTGTACATGAACAAGTGAACGTCTTTCTTTCTTCTATAGATGGATACTCAATAAACTACTAAACCCGAAAGAGTGAACACCATATCAACAGTGCTTCCACATAGTTCCATCCTCCCAAACAAAAGTCCCTGCACATAAATCCGCAAATGTTCAGTAATCATGTAACTGAACATCCCCGCAAATGTTCAGTAAGATTCAGACGAAATTTCTAATTCTATATTTCTTCTACAAGAAAAGGTAAGGTAAAATATACCAAATTGAATTGTTACCCTAAAAGTATTCAGAGCCACCACCTAAGAATTTTTTCAAAATCATTGAAAAGAGCATTGTCCAACTAATAGCTAAGAGGAAATTATAATGGCTCAAAATAAGCTTATTACCAAATAAATGTCTGCTCCTTCTAGGGGGGAAAAAAGCCAACGGTGTCCTTGCTTTCTTAGACCAACTGCAAAAAAAACACTTCCTGAACAGACCACTGCAAATATAACTAGTATACTTCCTGAACAGACCACTCAGCAATCAATACACATTTGAAACTGGGAACAAATCCAGCTGTCAAAAGGATTCAATAATAGTGAAGAAAATGTGAGGCAATAGATTTATTCAGCATACTTGAAGAAAGATTGTTACATGCTTGATTGGTCCAGTAAGTTCTATATCATTCCGAAGAAAGAGCAAGCATTCGAGCACTTTGATCCCAACTTTTGTATTGAGAACAATGCTCTTTTCAATATCTCAAATTAGCTCTGGTACCTCATTTAAGTGGGAAGTGTCTCATTTGCAA